ATAAATTTCCACCGTTTGCTTTGAAGGAAATTAATCAGTAAAACTTGGACTGGAAGCTGGAAACATTATTAGGTTTAAGATGGTAAGGCGATTGCTTCAAACAAATCGGCTGATGTGTTTGCCAGGCAAATCAAAGAAATGCCAAGCAACGTGGCGCATAACTCTGTACTACCACCTACCACCGTTTAGTCATCACGTTACCGTTACTAATGACTTATGGAACAAGCGGGATGACTGTGAAATCTCAAGATTATTATGGCCTCGGCTTAGTAGGAAAAATACAGAAGACGTGCTGAAATTTAATAAAGCTGCGGCGATGAAGATGAGGAGGAATCAAGCAGCCACTTTCCGTGTCGCTGTCCAGGCCTGCAGGCCGTGTCGCTGTCAACAGCCTGGCGGAGCTAGCTGAAGTGAAACTCTTGGATCTCTTCAATTTCGTTTGGTATTAAAATAGGTTCAGCAGATTAATGCCATGAAAAATTGCCTAATTTCTCTCTAAACAGGAACCCCGATTAATGGAATCTATCTTCTACTGACACTCATTCAATGAGGGTATTGACCACGGACACTCCCTCTTAAACTAACCTAACCTATTATACTGATAAAAAAAAAAGAAGTGCTGCGTGCCGACAGGGAAATTTCGCAACTCACTGATGTTCACCTCAGAGAGTTTCTCGGGATTTAAGGAAAGTATAAGCAAAAATGTTAGTTCCAAAGCCATGCGAAAGGAGGTGAAGGATTTCAAATGATTCCATCACATCGACCGACAAACAAAACTCCAGTCGTACGGTGTATAGTAAAGCTCACTAATATCGAGAGTTTCGGCTCGTAAGCCGAGAGGTTTTTTTAATCTATTCTAGCTCACTATCTGATCAGAAAGGTATTTCTTCTGTTCAAGTGCACTGGTCGTTTGGCGAGGCATCTTTAAGGTTACTCTTTCTAAACAACTCCTTAAAACAATTTCAAGTGGAAGCGTATGTGAGCCCAAGACAACAACATAACCTCTTCAATCAACGACCTGGCAGACAATAGACCGTCTCCTCCATGCTAGCTTGCATTTGTAGTTTATGAGTAACTCTCAAGAGAAGCCTCATGGTTGTTCGAAAAACATAAAAGAAAGGCGGGTGTGCATTTACGTAGAAGTAACTATTATTTGCTGATTCCATAAAAGAGAGATACATATATGATTAGGTTATAAATACCAAGGTCCTTAGGTTCTTGGCAACGGTGAGACTAAATGCATATGTGCTATATTTTCTCTGCCATGAGCCCCCGCTGTACTATTTTCCATAAAAAAGTGTTGATGCCATTTTTATCAAAGCTCGTTAAAAATTCCAACACTTTTTTAATAAAAAGCTTAGCATAAACTACTCTTATCTCAACGACCTCAAAATTTTCTTGAAATTACATTTCAGTACAATAACATCAAAGAGCTGATCATCCTCTTGGTCTGCCTTTTTTATTTCTTCTCATCTTCACAATCGTCATAGAATAGAATAGAACTTATGTACTACATTCTGAGTCATTCAAGCGTGCGCTGAACTTGAGACAAGCAACAAACGAATTTTTTACCTTTGTTTCTTGGGTCATTTCTAACCTATTTTTGTAGCACATTTTTTAACGCTTTTTATTTTTAATTTTTTTTATTTCTTCGCCTTTTTTATTTTTTGGTAGTACAAAATTTATTACATCACGATTTTTACGTTATGCGATATTTTGTTGCTTTGTTTTGTGTTGCCAATACCGCAGTTTCTATTTGGTTCACTAGAGTCCACATTTTATTGCTTTTTCGTTTTATTATTGTTTTAGATTTTTTGTGTTTTTTTTTTTTATTTGTTTTCTTATTACATTTGTAAATTTTTGTCTGCTGCGGCGATTGCTGCTAAACTTGCTACTTCTTGTTGACCTAAGCATTTTTAGTTCATATCGTTTGTTGTTTGTTTGTAGCTATTTCGCTTTATTTTGATTGTCTTTTTTCTTTCCGCACTTCCACTGTTTTGTATACTCTATACGTTTCTCAAGTTATTGCTAATGTTTCATTCAAAAGCAGCTGCACTTCCTGGAAAATAATTTTGCTTGCCGCACAGCTGTGGGTTTTGTAAGTCCATTTGGTTTTTGTTTTCATACATTATAGTATGACGATCTGCATACTTATTTGCTGGCACTTAAGAAATTTTGGAATTATATGCTTAGTTATACATATGTATGTGCATATGTTAACGACTCACAAGAATTTTGTTGTGTATGCATAAATTATTTTCTATGGCTTAGATTTTTTGATCTTTATGACGGTTCACGCTCACTTACGATCCAATCGTCTTAAGTGTTGACGTTCCTTCTTTCACTTATCAGAGTTTGTGTATCTCTGGTGGTTTTCGCTTATTTGAGTCGGTGTGGTGTCTTTGCTGGGTTCTATGGAAGTCATTAATTTTATTTTTAGGGTTATTTCTACTGGACCATTAGTTTCGAGGGACACCTTCGGTGGCGGTCATAAGTTTCGGATATACATACATATGTGCATATGCATTTAAACAAATTTTTGTAAGAAGATAATGTGAAACTGTGACTCAGAGCTTTTATAAAATATAATCTAATATATTGGTTATTAAAATTGTTGCATTAACTGTCTTTATAGAACCGATAAAAAATATTGAGGTTGCTCTCATGAAAGTACTTATTATTCATAATAACTTTTCTATTTCTATTATTTTATTTAAATCTCTAAGGGTACGTTCACACAGACAGCGGGGCCGAGCCGAGCGAAGCCGTTATGAGCTTTCAAATTTATACAGCAATCTTGTTCAGAAGCGTTTTGGAGCTGAAAGCAAAGCTCTTTTTTATTTTAAATTTTCATTTCATTGATTTTTCAGCCTCCTGACGCTGATGCGGACAAAAAAATCAAACCAATTTAATAAAAATGTATTTCTAGACAAAGAAATTCAGTCATTAAATTGTTGTGATATCTTTAGCCGAATTCATACAAAAAGCTACACTCGGCTTCGTTCAGTGTAAACATCAACAGCTTTCTTTCGCTCTGCCTTGATTCGCTCGGATTTCTGTGTGAATGTACCCTAAGGCTAAACAATTTACAATACAACGAAGTCTCCATTTAGCGTCACTACATACAATATTTCTTCAATTATCTGAAATCCCCAAATAACAAGATCCGCGTTACCGCTTTTGTAATTTTTAACCAAAATTGTTAATTTGTTTCTTTCATTATCAAATTTGGTAGTTTGTTTTTCAATTTGGTAACTTTTTCGATTCGATCCTCACATATGTCAATAAAGGCTCGTTCTGATTCCACGTTAGGAATTGGCCCGTAAGAGTTCAATTCAAAGTGTAGGGCAAAAAGACAAAGAAAACCACCAATTCTGGCATCTGCCTTCCATCTCACCCCAGTCTTTCGAAAGACAAACGTCTTTCTATTCCGGCAACTACATATATTGAAAGCTCTTTTCTGTATTTCGAATGACTAATTGAAAGATCTGCTAACGAGGAGGTCTTAGGTCTTAAATATAATGCAATAAAGATTAAAAATTTAAGTAAAAAAAGAACAAAATTAATTAAACAAGTTTTTAAATATTAAATGAAATTACATTTTTTTCTTAAACAATTAAACTTGAAAATCAAAAGAGAAAAATTAATTTGTTTTTTTTTTTTTGGTCTGAAGAATTACATTTAAGCTCGTGACAAATTTCAGGAGGTGGGTTCCTCTTCTAATTTTCAGTTTACGTTCACTCGCTGGCCATGAAAACGACACCATCTCTAGAGAACGTGGCACAAAAGGGGTCGCCTTCTCGTCTACGGTTGGGTATTCTGCTAAGCAGTCGTGGTGACGTGGTAATTCAAGTCAACAATTTTGTGCATATTGTGCTCTTTCCAGAATCAAGCTGTGGGTCTAGCGCCTTTTTTCTGAGCGGCACCATATATTTGATCAATTCTTTAGTCCACTTACATTAGACAGGTTTCGTGATATAACTTCGTTCGCGCTCTAACACTACGGTCATTATTTTGGTCCATATGTCCTTTACTCAAAAAGCGTTCAAGAATTTTTTACAGTGTGTCGGAAATCCGGTGATGTCAATAGCCATCGGGGGCCTTATAGGCGCTTGAAAGTAGAGCAGCCAAACCTGAACAAGCGTACGAGGCTAATTCGGTTTTAAAACTCGTAGTGAAATTGATCTTCTCAGGCTCTAATAAACCCATCGTATCCTCTTGTCCTATACAATCATTTGATATCCAGCTGTTTGCACGTGACCAATGCGCTTGTCTGCTTCTTCGCTGACATTCAAAGCCATTTTCAGCACCTACTAAATTAGCAAAAGTCACACTTCACCTAAAAAGTTTTTGGCAATTTTTCATAGGAATTTTTTCATTTTCTTTACAACAAAATTCTAAGCTCTGCGACCACCAACAGTGCGCCTCAATGCAGTTGCCAATTGTGCAATAAAATTTTGCCGAATATAATTAACTGATTGCGCGTAATGCACCACATGTGGTTGAAGCGACAGCGCGGGGTACTGCACGTTACCCCATGGCGCGAAGCGACGCGACATAGCGCAACAGGCGGCAACTGCTGCAAAAGTACATAGACCGAAAAAAAAACGAAATCGTGCCTTTTTTTTTCGATACAAGACTAGGAAAACTAGAAAGTGGGTTAAATGCTGAGGGAAAATAAATTGTAAATTAGTGAGAATTAATTGAGTTGTACGCGAGGCGGCAGGTGACTGCGGATTGTGCGGTAGCCAACAGTCCACTTCAATAAAAATTCAACACTGCAGCTGTCAAAGGCAAATGTCAAAAGTTATTGACTTTTAAATGCGACTATAATATGTGTGCGACAAAATCTATAATCGTTCGTTTTGTTTATTATTTTTTCAAAGTTCATATACGAGTGGAGTGAATGTGACGCGGCCGATATTTCAACATGCTTTCACTCAAAGTGCAACTAATGCTTTCGAATAAACTTAGAATAACATAAGCAAAAATAACTAAAAATGACAGCGCTTGTCAAGCGAACTGTCAGCGTGACATTTACCGCTGATGTGAAGCATCTGCTATGTGGCCCAGCAGCCGCTGGTGTAAACGCCGCGCGCAAACAAAAACAACGCGATAAACGAAAACCAACAAAGTGCCATCATAATACACGGCAAATGTTGCGATTATGCCGCCCCATTTTGCTGCTCTTCTTCATACTGCAAGTCGTGCAACATTTGCCGCGTGTCAACATGTTGACGGATGACAGCGCATCCAGTGCCAATCAGCTCTCGTTCGTGGAGAGTCCCACGAAGCTTGTAAATAATAGTGCCGCCAGCGCTGGTGTTAGTGTAAATAGTGTTAATCCTACTCTAAGTGTTAACAATGAAATTGTACAAAATGATGTTGCAGCAACAATGTTGCCTGCGGCGACAGCACAACCGGCAAAGCGTAAGTTGCGCCGCAAATATCCTGTAAAAATGCAAAATCGCACAGCGTTAGCATCGCCAGCGGGGCAGCGTTACAAGGGTAAGCGACGAAAAGTGTTGCTGCAACGCATGCAACCGAATGCAACACATGCAACACGCAACATGTTAGCTGTGGGCGCGCAGCAGCCGCAACTGCAACGAATAACCGCAGAAAGTATACCAAAGAATGTGCGAAGGCAGCAAGCGCAGCAGGAGAAACAAAAACAGCTACAACGCAAACAACAGCAGCGCCCACAGCACCAAAAATTTGTTGACGAGGCGAAGCGAAGGGAAGAAGCAGCGCTGCCGCAACAACAAAGGTTGCATCAAACGCAGCAGCAACAACAATTTTCCTATAACCCACGCGAAGGACAATATCACCATCAACAACAGCAACAACAACAACAACAGCCGCTACCAGCACACCTGCCACAAAGCGAAAATCGCCAGCGCGAACTTCAAAGCCAGCATTTCCTGTCGCAGCCGCCGCTGCAACCCGACACGCCCGCCACAACTTTGCGCGTCAGCACGTCCATCGATCAACATCATCATCAGCATATCACAACGAATACAACAACAACAATACGACAACATATACAACAGCAACAACAACCAGAGGAGCTACAGCATCATTACGTCGGCAATTCAAGCAGCATAACGTCTAGACAGCATTATAATCATCAGCAGCAGCAACAGCCCCAGCCACAGCCGCCCCAGCACACTGTTTACGATACCACAACCATACAGAATCGCCAAGATCACGTTGTCATACAGGGCAACACCGACATTGTGGTGTATCGTAATATTGGCACCCTGCCATGTCCACCAGGCGTGCGTCTGGTGCCGCATCGCTTCATACCAGTGCACACCCAGCAGCGTCCAAGGCCAAGGGGTAAGTTGCGAGAATTGGGTTCCGCATGCAATAAACGATGATTGGCATTCAGGCATTAAAAATATTGCTTTCCAATGCTTTTCGTGCAGAAAATTATTATTACTTGATGCTATAAAAATTATGAAGTGTGTGGTTGACTCTTTAATTAACAGGCCTTATTATCTATTTCGAACGATAGGCCGCACGAACGATTCTTCTACAGACGAATGCTTCAAAAAATTGTCCAGCAAGATCATTCTAGCCGTTTAAAACGTTACAGAGACGATTGCAACGTTACCGACGTAAAGCAAGACCAAGGCCAGCGAGTTAAGCGAAATTGCAAGCAGAGACGGTATCGTCTGGAGACCAATCGTTGGTGCGGCCTATCGTTCGAGATATGTATGTTTGTAGATAATACTAAAGGATGTAAACCGTTCCATATTTTTATTCCATCCTTTTTCTATATCGTCGCAGCCGGATATAAATCTGAATTTTGGACAGGCGCTGATCAGATTTGCTTTCTTCCGTCTGGCGCCCGTCAAGAAAAGTATCGAGGTGTTAGACATGCGCTAGGGCGTTTCTAAGAATTGTTGGCAACAGGATTGGTTACTGCAGGCAGATTTTAGTAGGATACATACAGTCCAGGCACTGCTAAAACGATCTCAGTTAAAAAATCTTTCCAACACCAAAAGTGATTATCTCAAAAGGAAACTATTATTCTGGAGGCAGTCTAGGCTCTAAGAAGATAAACTTGTTATCCTATGCCCGTCACGGTTTCCCTTTTAAGGCTGTCGCATAACAGATACTGGCCTGGCGCTTCCAACTTAAACGTACTAGAGAAATCTACCCAGCGCCTGGATTGGTTACCCAAGTTAAGATATTGCCTGGTAGTGCCAGTCAAAAAGTGATTATCTCTGATTAATTATTGTATGCTAGCGCTTGTTCAGATTATATTGGGTGAGAAGATTGTTAGAAAAATCTATTAAGCGCCGGAATAGATTATCTGTAGAAGGGATTTCCATGCCAGAATCTGTTTTGGCACTGCAATGAGAATCTCGGTTATGGAAATCTAGCCATCATTTTGTTACATTTTCATGGCTTTGTCTATAAAATTTCCAATCGGGTTATTTTATGAATTTTGAGCTGCATTCTTTTGTAACAGAATTTTACGTAATCCTGTTTGAGATTATTTGTACATTAAGGTGCATCACTCACCATACAAAAAAAAATCGGAATTGTTTTCCAGGGGAATTAAAAAGTTTATTATATTTTAAGATTTCTAATTTATCTAAAGTTTATCTAATTTATTATTATTTTATTTATGACAGATGTACGGTAAGACATATAGTCTTTTCATTACACAAATTTAACATTTAAATTACAGATCTTAAACTTATTTTAGACTTAACCTAACAGTAATATATCATAATCTTTAGTAAAGGATAAGAATAGGTAAAATGGATTACTAAAGATGAAGAAGTTAAGAGAGGGAGGCACATAGGTTACTAAGTAAAAATATAGGTAATTGCCGTTTTGAAACATCTCTCTGATTTAATGCTTTTAACAGAAATTGGTAGCGAATTCCATTGTCTGATGGCACTAACAAAGAACAGTCTGGAGGCCGTTAATGTTTTATATTTTGGGACTATAATATTATACGTGCGAGAGGACTGAACAAAAGTTAATTTTCTAAAAAGGTAGTCTGGTTGGCGATATCTAATTATTTTGAAAACAAATAAAATAATTCGGACCTTTAAGTAATTTTCAAAGCTGAAACCGAGAATGTTTTTAGTGTATGGCGAAATGTGGTCAAACTTTCTTTTACAATATACGAATCTAGCAGTATTATTTAAAGCCAAATTTAGTTTATTTTTAGATTCGTAACTTAGCTTGCAATATACCGATGCAAAGTAGGTTATTTGAGGAACGATGAGAGATTTCACTAATTTAAGTTTTGTATTAGTTGGTAGGATTTCCGAGTCTTCCAGAATGATAGGCGATAAGTTAGTAAGGTCGACAGCATCGTGCGATATTGGAAGTACCTGTGTTTTGGCTGCGTTTAAATAAAGGCAATTTATTTTCGCCCAAATTGATATTCTCTTTAGATCATCATTAAGTCTGAAAACTAATTCTTCGCCAAGCCCAATCGGGCGTGAATAATAAATCTGAGTATCATCAGCGTAAAGGTGTATAGACGGATTTTGACAGCAGTGAACTATGTCATTAATGAAAGCGGTAAAGAGTATAGGGCCCAATATAGATCCTTGAGGAACTCCTGACGGGATTATCATGCGACTAGAAAACACGTTCCCACATTGGACTTGCTGGAGTCTATTTGAAGGGTAGCTTTCTATTAATTTAACCGATGTTTTAGTAAACCCGAAGTAATGTTGCAATTTTAAGAGTAGAATATTGTGATTGACGGAATCGAAAGCTTTAGAGAAGTCTAAGAGTACCAAAATTGTTAAAAATTTGCTATCGAAAGCGGGGCGAATGTCGTCCATTACCTTTATCACGGCTGTGGAACAACTGTGACCAGATCTAAATCCAGACTGAAACTCACTCAAGAGCTTGTATTTATTTAAGTGTAAAGCTGAGATCCCACGATTGCCGCAAATGGACCAATCTGCTGTATTGGAGCACAATAAAAAAATTGTCCCAATGAAATTCTGTACAGTCTTTTTATACAATTCTCATTGCCGTAAGTTGGCGAAAAGCAATATAGTGACAATAATTGCCCCAAACTTATCACACGATTGTTCGAGCATGCGGCAATTGTGACCATAAAGTGTTGCGCTGACCTCTAAATTCTGTTTTTTTCTCTGTTGTGTAAAAATGGCGTATTCTTAATAAAAAAAAAATAAATCAATTGCATCTGCTTTGTATATTGCGGGCTCATTTTGTGCAAATTTGTTGTTGTTTGAAAGCAAAGAAGCAAAAACTTGTGCCCAACGAAAACTCACGCATTTATTTAGAAGTTTGATTGTATAGTTTTTTTATTTTTCGACGATAACTGCAACGTGCTATGTGGAGTTCAAGTTGCAACAGTTTTCTTTTTAATTTTGTTACGTAGAGGTTTTTTTATTCATTACAAGTAAAATTGGTACAAAAGAGTTATGTTTGTTTAAATGAAAGCTGCGAATTTACATAATTTATGTTTGGAATTAAATTTTATAATTATATGTACAGCTCGCAACAAAAGATAGCACCTTAACATTTTGATCAGTCTTGACTTTTTTCTTCTGTTGTTTAATGTTAATTTGTTCCTATAAAACCATAGCTCATTGTCTAGTAAAAATCACATAAGTCCAAATTCCAAACTTTATACAAAAATTATAAACATTTCTTAAAATTTTGATCACAATTCAATGGTTTTTAATTTGGGTTTCTAGAAAAAATTTTGTTTTGCAGTTTACAAAGTAATTTACAGAGAAGAAAGTGCATAATACCGTCAGCTAAAAAAATTATAAAAAATCAACTCAACATTGTACTAAATTTTAATGAGCTATAAAACTAAATAACCATTTTTTTCTAGAAATCCAAATTATAAACCGTGGGATTGTGTTCAAAAGTTTAAGCAATTTTTATAATTTTTGTATAAAGCTTGCAATTTGGATTTATGCAGTTTTTGTTAGACAATGAGCTATACTTTTATACGAAAATAATGAAGATTAAATAAGTAGAAGAAACATAGTCAAGACTGGTCAAAATGTTGAGGTTCTACTGCTTTGTCGTGGGCTGTATTGAACTTTTAAGTTTTTTTTTTTTAATAAATTTATACTGTCATGGCAGTCCGCCATTTGGTGACATAAAATACCTTTCGTATTCTTCTCGTATGAGTTTTGCTTGTGGTGGTATATATCGCGGCAAAGATTCCGTTATGGACTTCAAGAAAAATTATAATTTCACTACAAATTAAATTAAAAGTTATGTTGCTTCCGAAAACAAGGATATTAATTTCAGTGATTTTTGGACACATAAGGAAGTAAAAAAGTTAATTATTAATAAACAGCCTAAATATTGATGTGTATTGTTCACTTCAATTGCCGCACAAGAATACAATAAATATTGCCGCAATTTTGAAATTTTCATTGCCCCATGATTGCCAATCGAGCTATCACACGATTGCCGCACACGGGCCGTATTTGATTGGGCACAGTAAGCACAATATCGGCCTCTATTGCCGCATGAGTCAATGTATTGTGAAATCACACGATTGGGGCATAAAATGAGGCAATAATTGGTGTATTGCGGCAATCGTGGGATTCCAGCTTAATATTATTTGATTGAAAATAATTTTTTCAAACACTTTTGATAATGCTGGTAAAATACTGATGGGCCTATAGTTAACGGGAGATTCGCAAATGTTGCTTTTTGGGATCGGAATGACATTTGCAATTTTCCATTGGTTTGGAAAAGTCGAAGTGGTTAGGGCAAAATTGATGATATGTGTAGGTGAGGGAAGAGCAAAAGGGAGGATCAGTTTAAGAAAACGTAGGCTAAGTCCATCTACACCAATGGCATCCGATTTTACACCAAAGATGCATTTGACAACTTCATCTTCAGTAGTTGTGTTAAACGTAAATTCATGGACAGGATTACAAACTAGACTCTGGTTGACTGTAAAAGAGGACGCGTTTGATTGTCTATNCGAAACGTTATTAGTAAACTTATTTTTAAGGCAATTTTTTTTCGTTTGACGCAAGTTCTTTGTTATTTTATTCCTTAAGTTCTTATAGACATTTCAGCGATCAATTGTGGGATTACGCTTCCAGTACTTATATGCCCTGTTTCGATCCTTAATGAGGGTTATAATGTTATTAGTGAACCAGGGCTTTCTATTGTCCAATATTTTAAGACTACGGAGAATAACATATTTTACCAGCATTGTAAAGTGGGCTAATTTATCGTCAACACTTGAAAGATTTATCGTCAACACTTGAAAGATTTCGCCAAAATATTTCGAAAAATATTTATATTTTCGTGAGCTGGATTGATTTGAAACCATTTCCAAAAATCTT